GTTCAACATTTTAACATGACGTCCAACACGCTGTAGGAGTGGAACGAGGAATGTAACACAAAATAAAATAAAAGAAAGACGTGAATAACTTTGTTTCTGGGAGAGAAGATCTCTCACCTAAAAAAGCCTGCATTCACATTTTTACCACTTTATCTAATCTCAAAGTCACCACCACCACTGTATGTATCTCCTCCTGCGAAGAAGAATGGAGGCAAGGTTACTCTTCTTCGAGTACAAGTGGTAGTTGGGTAGCGACCTTTTAACCGGAAGACAGGATTTGGCCATATTTCTCAAAAAGAGAGAGAGAAAGTGAGTGAAAGGCGGGCATTATTACGAGTTTAAAATCACATTTCCTCTCCTTTTCACCGTACTTTTTCGGGTCCAGGAATGATTTAAATGTAAAGAAATATCCCGGCATGAAATAGTCTACCCCCTCCGAAGCCTTTCTCCTGCGGAATAATAAGTTACAATAAAATAACACCTACTACTACCTCTCATCGTGTCTTTACTTTGAGGTGACCGAGTAATTTGGACCAGCTGCCAATCCCACAAAATGAATGAAAAAAAACGAATATTCATTCCAGCCAGGGATTTTTTTACTGCAAAAAATTCATTCTAGCGCAACAGGGAGGGAGGGAGAAACTAGTACAATTCATTCACCTCTAAAAAAATTTTGCCTTCAAACAATTTATTTCCCACCATTTCAACTCTTCATAAAATCAGCCCCCACAAAAAGAGAATAAGAAATAGTCTCGTAAAACACAATGATGTTTTTCATCCCATGGACTCACCAACCAACTTTGAGTCCAATCTGAATTCCAATCCAAATGAAAAACAGATCAGGCCAGAAAACTACCAAGTATCCAGGACCATTTCCAAAGAAAGGAAAAGGAAAAGAAACAACACATTTTTACCCATTGTCTTCTTCTTCTCTTTCCCTTCAAAACCACAACAAAACACTGCAACACACATAACATCATACATACGTCTCGCGAAAGAAAGTAGCGATGCAGTTAACGGAATCCAATCGATAAGTCGGAGCCCCGTTATCTGCAGCATATTCCCCCCGTAAACTGTTGCTACATATGTATGTACATACATACCAGAGCAACATTATGTGCAAGTAGTACAACTTCACGGGGCATAAAAGTTGGAGCAGCGTAATATTGTCGCCAACACCAAACACGATTATGTCGGCGGTACCTCTGTCGTTGTGTCATCATCACTAACCCGCCCAGTAAAGTGAGCTCAGATCCACGTTTTCTCATTCCATGTATGCGCCCACTTTCGCTTGACGGAATAAAGTTAAAGTAACAACTCCGCTACGGATCGGATGGTAAACATCAAAATCTAAACGATAATCATTTACTCCACCCGCGACGATGACCCAGGAAGGAAACAACAGGAGGCAATTACCAAGAGACCAACCAACCACCCACCAAATCATGTACCAAGAGACTCTCAATCCGATAAGAGGGTAGCTGCTGATAAGCACCACTGTTTATATATAAATATAACACAACTTGTAGTGCTGACACGAGAGAATCAGGAGCAGATGGGGGAGAGGAAATTAGATTCGATTTCCGAATTGAAACTTAAACCCGTCCTTCTCCAGAGATTAGTTTGGATAGAGTTTATCTTTTTTTGGGAGAGAAAGCAAGCAAGCAAAACCACCCAAGAAGGCGGAGAATTCAAAGGATCGGATAAAATGATGCGATCCGATTCTCTCTCTGGATGCAATTTCTATTTGTGCAAGGTTCACTTAATCTCGAGTAAAGTTGGAACGAATTTACTTACATATACTTTACCTAGTTTCGTTCCTTCACAACTTGTACGCACGTACACCAGAGATTATCTTCCCTGTGGTTTCATCATGATGCAAATAACAAGTAAAAGAAAACTTGTTTATTTATTTGCCCAAGCGATGAGTTACAGAAGAGAGAACCAACAATTTTAATTGAATCACTTTCCCTAAAATTTTATCTTCTTCCTTTTCGCATTTATTGCGAAAATAAATTACGGAAAACATTGTGTCAATCACCCACCAAACCAACAAATAAAACGACGACTACTACCCTCCGACCTCTCTTCTTCATCCAAAGGATGCCTCAACTTAACAAGGAAAACGAGAAGAGAAAAAAACTTGAGAAATTACACCCACTTCAATTCAACTACTCGTGTGTAAAGAGAAGAGAACTGAGCAAACCTTCGCGAAAAAAGTGCTAGTTCCTTGCCTTGCCTTCCATCTGTCTCTCTAGAAGAACAATAAGGTTGGCAAGCTTTTGTGTATGTGAAGAAAACAAGAGTGTGAGTGTTTTTTATCACTTTCTTTCCGGCCATCCAGACATTTGTTCCCTTCGTGTGATAGATGCGGACTAAGTCAAGTTTAATTCCCTGCAAATCATCCAACTTTCACTTTCAACCCGGCTTTTTCCAATCCTAAACAGACTTTATAACTAAACTGGACAATGTTGGAGTGCAAATTCCTAACAAGGAGAACATCTGCCCCCCATTTTACTTACTTACTCGGGTTTCCTATATTGTGAAAAAAAAATTTCTCTCCCCGTATAAAAATGAGGACGGGAAAATAATAAACTAGCCGTGTCCGTCCATCCAACCAGCTTTTCCCAAGCGCCGGTGTACATTTTCTTTCGGATAGTACAATTCACGTCATTGGTATCCTCCAAGTTTTTAGCCGAGATCTGTATGTACTTATACCGACAACAAACCATCCACGACCAACTTTTTCTTCTTCTCTTCTTCTCAAGGAGTGAAGAAGGAGATTGGGTTTTGGCTTTACTTCATCCATCAAAAGTTGGTGTCAGCTAACTAGAAGCGTGTGAAAGTATTCCCTCTCCTCTCTCGTGGGTGAGTGAGGATATTATCAAGTGCATGGATAAGAATGGGAGAAAGTTTTCATTTCTCCGTCCGTTTGCAGCATGAGAGATGCACACACAAACACAAAGTAAGAATGAAAGCAGAATCTTGGTCGGTGGTGGTGGTCAGTCCAGTCAGTCACCAAATAAACCATTTTTCCACATCCCAAAACTAAACTGCAGCAGAAGCCAGTTTTTTCTTTTTCATTCTCTCTCGCTCGTTGTTCTCCAAATGGGAACAGGATTTGAGGAGAGCTTGGCTTTGATAATGATGAAGTTGAACTAGTAAAAAGATATGGAATTTGGACCACCACCACCACCACCGACCGTGATTAGTCTTCTTCTTCTCCTCGTGAAATGAAATATTGTCCTTTTTCTCTGCTGCTTCTTCTTCTTCTTCTTCCCACCGAGAGAGAAAGTTGAACCATCTCAAGCGGAAGATTGTGCTGTATGTGGTGGTCGAGTTACCATAATTTATTGTACAACTCACTTAAACGTGCGTGTTTTTGGTGGGGTGTCGTCATACACCATGAGACTGCACCTTAAAAACTTTCTCCTCCTGCCGGTTAGACTTACAAAAGATTTCTTGCTCTATACTTGCACTGTCAAATCTTTTCTCCATATCTCACTTTCCCTTTTGCTTCTCTCTCTCTCATCTAAATCTCGACCGACGAGTTAAAGCCACGTCGTATAAAATTTACATTCTCATCACATTTATTTCATTCGCGGAAGATTTAGCGAGGAGGAGAAAAAGAAAGAGAGAAAAAAAAATTGAAAAATTAAAACGAGGTGCAAAAGGCCCCCGTTTAAATGGGTGGTAAATAAAAGAAGGAACATATTTTTTACTAGGTGGCACAGGACACCAGCAACCAACCAACACTACACTACATAAAAAAGGCACCGTTTAAATGCCAACGAGCAGCAGGACTACGCACAGGAAATGGATTTCGAATGTAATAATCGTAAAAATAAATTGCATTACGGGGGAAACACAACCGCGGAGAGAAAGTTGGAAAGGGGTGAGGAGTTTGGAAGTGGGATGATGATTCCATAATGGAGAAAGCAAACGCCAATTTATTTATGTGGGAAACGTGCCACCCTAGTTTTCATCCACTCTAAAACAATATTACGCCACCAACTAATAAATTAAATTAGGAGGGACTGATTGTCATTTAAGTTTTCATTATGGGACATTAAATCGTCAAAAAGGAAAATGTGTGTAGGCTCGCCTCCCGAGAAGAAAAAGAGTTACGGAGGGCAGACAGAGAAATCCCATTTCATCGCCAAAGGTGGGTCGCAAGAGATATAAGTTACACGCATTTACACGAATATAGAAATCATAACTCGACCCGGGGAAAGTTGTAATAAAGAAAAAGCGCAAAAGTTTACAAAACCTGTATCAAACTTATTTTTACAACGGGGCCTAAAATATCTACTCCTTCTTGATAATTTATTAATTAACACGGCACCAAGACATGATTAAAGGTGGTAACTTTATCAAAAAGGTGTCTCAATAAAATATCAAGAGGTGCCGGAAAAACATGACGCCAAAAACTTGCCCCATTTCACACCAAGGAGTCAACTTTCGTCTTTTTCATGTATCGTCTCACTCACTCTTTCAACTTTATCATCACTTCTTCTAAAACGACACCTTCTTTCTCTGGAATTCTTAACACGTACTTTTTTCGCTGGGGAAGCATACCAGAGAAAAGTAGCCCGTTCTTTTTGCACTTTAGGCTCACCCAATCCAAAAAAAAGTCATTGAGCAGGAGGCAGGAGTAAAGTTGCAAAGTTTACATAAGAAGTTTGAAAGAGTTTAGTTTACAATGTGACAATCACTCGGTCCTTTTCTCTTTGGGAGGAAGAAAGAATGCGCTCAAATTGACAAAAGACAATGAAAAAGAGCGACAACTTTCTAAATTTACAAAGTTCAATATCCGTTCTGCCATTGAGCAAGGAAACGATTGGGATTGGATTCACATTCTTTAAGAAAAAATACGGCTTCTCTAATAATGCTATAGGAGAATTAGAGAAAGTCAAAGGTGAAAGTCAAAGTCGGTCTAATTTCCGAAATAAACAAGGTCGAACGGCGGCATAAGAAGAAAAGAAAGTGGGAGAAAGTACCTCTTGGAGAGCGATTTAAATTTAACGGAAGACTTAAAGGTCCATTTCCCATCGGTGGCGCGGCGTTGTACATAAGCGGATCCAAAGGATTACAGTCATCAAAGGAGTTAACGTTACTGTTACTGTTACTGATACCACCACCGGCCGGACTAGGTCCTCCATAGGTGAACATGGATGGGCTATTAGCCAAAGTCATAGTCAGGGTGGGATCATACCCACCATAGTCGAGCACACCCGCGCTCACGCTGGGTAATGGAAGTGTTCTGTTGTAAAAGTCGTCACATTGACAATAAGCTAGAGAAGCATCGTAAAATTCGGACGGCATTGAATGTCTTTGTCTCCCTCCTGTTAGAAAACGGTCGGGCTGGTGCTGCTGCTGCTCCAGATCCAGCAGTGGGGGTGGTGGTGGGAGCAGCGAGCAGTCGGTCGAGGTGGACGTGGAGATTGAGGCAGATGGGAAAGTTTGCATCTGTCGATCTCCTCGGACAGAGGAAGAGTTGGAATTTCGTAGGATTCCTTGTAACTGGGGAGGAGCCTTTTTAGCATCTTTCCCACCACTACCACTACCACCTTGTTGTCCAGATGTTGTCTGTTGGAAATATTGGGGATCACAGCACGGATTTGGGGGACACAGACAACGAAGCTCGGATGCGGAGGGGGGTCCATACGGACACGAGAAGGGATCACAGTCGTAGTATGGAGAGGGTGATTTTGACCCTGTGTGGTTGAATACCCTTCGTTTAAGGGAGGGAGGTGGTGGGGGTGGGGGTAGAGGAGTGTCGAGGGAGAGGTCACCCTCACTTTGGCTTTGACCTCGGCGAGGTTTCCAACCAAAGAGGGACCCACCCCGGCGGACGTCACTGTTACCCGGGTGACCTTGATAATGCTCGTTATCCGAGCTGTCCAAACTTCTATCGCGGAATCGTCGTTGTTGTTGCTGTTGTTGGACCATTTTTCTTCGTGACCCGCCCAAAGTGGCGGTTCCACCGGCATCTTGACCCTCTTGGGGACCTTTCGCATTTGCCAGGACGAGGTCGCACATGACCCGGCCATTGTTGTCCCTCGTGGAGAGGAGCCGCTCCAGCCCGACCCCACCGTTTCTGAGTGGTTTAAAGCCACCATCTTGTTGTTTATTGTAATGTGGATCTGGTGGACAGGCACAGTGGTTGTGGCGACTGCTAGTGTTACTTTGTTGGTTCTGAGCCAGACCAGAACTTCTTGGCGAGTCTTTCTGGCGATGGCTTTCTTTGAGCTCGAGGACGAGCCCGTCATCCAACTCGGTCGTGGGGTAAGAGTCGTACTCGGAGTGACACTGGTCAGACGAAGAGTGACGTGGGTGAAGTGGGTGGTGGCGGGGATGGTAGTGTGGATGTTGATGATGGTGACACTGGCACAATGTATGCTAGTAATAATAATGAGGGGAAGTTTAGTGGTATTCTTATCAAGATCACCGTCATCCTATTTTTTCTTGACTAATTATTTACTAAACAGCAGTAGCTGATCCGATTGGATTCAATTCTCTCAATTTTTTCCCCTTTTAGAAACTTGTACTCTTCTTTCTGCTGACAACTAGCTCTTAATTCAGCAAGGCTTTGTTTTTAGCAATATCCAATTTCCTTAAATGGTTTTCATCCCAATCCTACTGCCATTTTGGAGAAAGTAAAACATAAACTTGGGGGTAATTTATGACCGTGTGTATTCTTGGTATGGTGGGTAGTGTGGGGGGAGAAGAAAACGTGCCAAAAAACAGGATTTGGCCCACCACCAGGATCATAATACATGTGAGTGAGTGAGCTCTTCTGCGTATTCTTCTAGCTAGCTTTGCATTATTACAGGCAAAACCGAATTCAACCAACTTCATCTCTTATACGCAGTGGCCGCGGAAGCCGTGGGGGCATTAACATTGTAGGATACGGGAGGCAGGGGTTTATATAACATGGGGAGATGAAGGGGACATCGAAATACCGTGGGGGCATTGTCCACGCTTCCGCGGCCACTGGTCATTCTATCCCTCCAACTGCGGAACAAACTTCCACTTGGACATACACAGTCGACCTTATGAACTACTTTCACTCACAACTTTCTCTCCCGTCTCAAAACTCAGAATTACAATGGATTCACTAAACGCAAATATTTCATGGAATAAAAGAACGAACCCAGAGTGACACACATTCTCTACAAATCTGTGCCTGTTTTCTGGGTCCCTTTTATCTCTCCACGCTCATCCATCCATACGCCTCGGCACACGAACGAATGGATGAACGACTTCTTCTTGGAGGATTTCATTTTCCGAATAAAGTCAATTTCTACTCTCTCTCTCTCTCTCACCATTATTATTTCAGCAGCAGCAAAAAAACAGAGAGAATTGAATCGAATCATTTGATGCTGACTAGCTTTTTACAGGAAATAATGGATGAACAGTGTTGTCTTGTAGAGATTTTTTTAGGGAAACATACCCTATTCCCACTCGTTCTAATATCTGCTCTCATCTTGAGCAACCAAGCCATTCCGAATAAGGCCATTATTATTGTTTCTATAATTGGCCTCAAAGACAACAGATTGGGGAGCCTGCTTCCTTTCAACTCGGGCTTGTTGTGGGTGTGGTGATGGTGGTGGTGGTGGTGCTGCTGGTAGTAGAAACAATACGCTGTCGCCATGCCATGAGTGGAGATGATGAGGAGTTCTGCGTTCCAACAAAGTTTTGGTGAAAGCCTGCTGCTGCTGCTTGCAAAAAACTGTGTCGTCCTCAACGAGACGGGGAGAAGAAACAAGTTGATGATGAGGGCCACCACCACCACCAAACACCCGAACCACCATTGCGAGCCGTGATGTTGATGTTGATAATTAGACTGGAGAAGAAACTGTCTGGCTGGCGGTCGTCGTTGTCGTCTAATTTGACATTATTCCGCCACGGGTTGGGAACGAAATCGGGCCTATTTACGAATTCGGATCATTTAACACTTGTCGTGAAGGGGAAGATAATGAGGTCGTCATCTTGTCTCGGGGACTAATCAGTTGTTTACTTTTATCTCTTCACATTCTTCTCTGCATTTGATCCCCAGCAAAGTTTCGCCCCATTGCGTTTAAAGAGTATGGTTTCGTTTCGGGTTGGGGGTAAATGTGAGGTCACTTCTTGTCGTGCACCGGGAAGAGGAGGAGAAAGTAGTCGTGATGCAATGTCAACCAACATCCGTTCTCTTTTCACCCCTCTGTTTTACGACACGGCAAAAACGACGACACGTACATAGATCTCCTCTCCGATCAGAAAACAATCTGGACGGAACTCGAGAACAACTCGTAAAATCTTTGGTTCTGGTTTTACTGTAATTTTATTCCTTCCACTTTCTCCCAGATTTCAATTGAACACACAGACACAGAAGAACACACTAAAAATGGAGAGCACTCATCAAACCAAAATTCCTTTCGCTTCACCGGACGCGAAATATGTACACGAATTCGTGGCAGAGGAGATCGTAATAAATCCGAATCACCAACCATTCAAAATTTGAATTGTGAAATGGAAGAGGATTGTCATTCAACTCGACTTTCACCGTGTCAAACGCTAAATTTCGAAATCCTTCCGTCTTATACTTTCACTTTCTTCTTTTCTCCGAATCAATGGTGAAAGTGGGACGATGGCTTTTAGTTTTTCGCTAGAAAGCCATCCCACAAAAAAGCGATGACACCTATTTCATCATCATCTTTGCACACATCAAAGGATATCATCAAGAGGGTTGAGTTGAGCCGGGGCTTTCACTCAATGGCGAAATTCTACACGACTTAGGAACAACTTCAATAGGTGGTCGTGGTCGTTGGTTTATTCGCTCTACAAGAAAAGTTCGACATCAATTAGAGGGGGCGAGAAGGAGGTATTGATGCATTCATGGTTCCTTTTTATCGAAATAAGTCATACTCTTTTATTAGTTTGAATAGTGAATTGAATTGAATTTCGTCACAAAATTCGATCCGTTTCAACAATCAGAACAGAAACAATTTACGTATAGTCACAAAACTCACGAAATATTTATACATATTCCGACCCCGAGAAATAATAGATTACTTATTTATTCCCGCAAGGACACGATTTCACTCACGCGTCTACTTTTGGACGCCTCGCACATGTAAAGAATGAGCTCTATTCTCTTTTTCGGGAAAGACATCACAAGACAAATGAGTATCTATCTCTCGGAATAAAACCTTAGAGGAGCAAACTCGCTCGACACATGTTTCACAACTTGCGCTGCGATATACAACATCAACCAAAACGCAAACAAAAGATTGCCCATTTCCCTGTCGGTAAAGACAGATCGGCTCATTCTATTCTCCTCCCTGCACTATCCTATTTCTCTCCTAAATATAAGAACAAGGCTGGAGAGAAAGTGCGAACTAATTGATCCTACTCTGATAAAACTGTCACGTCCACATCAAATCAGCCCAATTTCCTTCAAAGAACTGCTCGCACAACTTTTAATCTTGCTTCTTCTTCTTCGCCTCCTTCTGTCGGCAATTAGACTTACTTTCTCCTTTTCACACGATCAAGACGAAGAAGATGGAGGAACGCGAGGGAGGAAAAAAATACATACATGGAACGACAAAAAATAAAATAAACCTGGACGAAAACACGCTTTGTGCATTTAAAAAAGTAAACCACTTTAAAATAAACGTATGAAGAAAGGAGAGAAAGCAGCCGTTAAATTACGACGAGTTGTGTAACTTTAATTAAAAAGTGGACACCGACCGAGAGGACAGTTCCGCATTTATTACACAAGTATTATTATGCCAACTTATTGAATCAGAGAGGAAAGAGAGACTAGAAATTCAGCAACCTCATCAGGAATGAATACCAAACTCGCAGAAATGATCATATCAATATACCAGGCAGTTTTAGAGACCTGCTTTCTCCATCATCACGAAATAATCTCGAGACGTTAAGCTGAGCTTGGAGCTTATAGCTGATGTAATCAAATCTTCTTCTTTTCATCTTCCCCATTGTTGTGTAGGAGATAAGAGAGCCAGCGACCGTCCAACCAACAAACGCACCGTCATACTCACTCACTCAATTCCACCTGTGTTGTTGCTGACTGAACGGAAAAGCACAGCACAACCTCAAAGGGAGCAGGAATAAGACGACAGAGAACAATTATTATTGTTGATATAGAAAGAAACGACATGGTCCAATTTATTTAAACGAACCCCTCCCTTTCAATTTCATTATTCGGGAGGAGAGAATGGAGAAAATGAGAAAAAACGAAGCAGATTCATTCATTCAGAGAGGAAGGAACAACAATTTACGTAAGAAGAAGAAGATGATGAGATGACTGATTACATAACTTAATTAAATGATCCAGATCACAATTGAGAATAAATGTGAGGCCGGGGTGGATAGAGTATTGATTTTCTATTTATTCCCGAAGGGAGAAAGTGGAGAGAGAAAGCACATGCATGAATGACAGGTATTTTCTTTGTAAAGGAGGACGAGAAGAATAAGCAATCAGTAAAATGAGATGGGTAATTGAACCTGCTCCGCCTCTTTCTTGGATTGATCAGAATGTAAGACGTTACACATTTATTAACATTAACAGGCAACATACATACGTACATGGAGCATTATTTTATGTATGTATGTACGTGTAGGAAGTCTGATGGAAATCCCAAATCCCAATGCAAATCTAAAATCTTGCCCTCAATCCGGCCAGCATTTCGCTGGATTCAAACCAAACCCACTTTTGGGATTTGGACTCATCTGATTTTGATCCAATTGTTGGCTCACTCAGACAGACAGACAGACAAAGAAGGGAGGATAATGTATGTAGCGAAGGAGAGAGTATAGCGAGGGGATGATGGAGTTGGACTTCTTTCTGCCAATAATAAGAACAAACCTATTCTCCAATTCTATGGACAATATGTAAGCACACATGAGACGTAATAGAGTACAAAATATGCTGATGCCGAAATGTTTGTATGCACAGTTAAAAATCTGGTAGAATCAGATATATATACTCCGTACTGAGATTGATTAGGTAATAACTTCCTACCGGATTGGTAGCAGTTTGTTTCTGACTGGTAAGTTTTTCATTGCCACAACATTACTAAACGGTAATGGCCGATATTACCAGGGCCGGTAGAGTCATATACACACTTCGGTCAGTAATGACGTAATACCAGTTTTCTAAGAGTGTACAAGAACAATAAATAATTTCATAATATCCAAAACTACAAAATTCATCAGAAGTCTACGATTACTTAACCTTTCACAACATGATTTTAAGTTATTATTACGCAAACACTAATAATCTTTGTGGACCCTGGGCCAAAAAAATGCCCCTTTTAAAGGTCAACCTCTCAATGTTTACCAACACATAACACTAACTTTACTTGGTTTCGTACATACCAAACCCATGAAACTCTCTCCTCAGGGTCCGGATCTCGCCCGAAAGTGTTCCGGTCCTGTGACATGGATGCAATTTTGAATAAATAACAACTCCTCGTCGAACAAGAAGGAGAGAGACGACGATACTAGAAGAACGCACTGATTTCGGGAAAAAACTAACGAACCGATGGTAAAGAAGATGTTAAAAAAACCTTTTACAACATCCTTCTATTCCTCATTTCATATAAATAGGATACAAAAAAATGGACACAGTTCTGTATAAATGCACGACTTTCTCCCCGCTCACTTCCTGCCCGTGTGCACACATCCACGTGGAAGAGGCAGTCTTGCGTAATTTATATGAAATTGGATGACTCCATGGGAAAATATTTGACACAATTTATGCTACTTTATAAATGTCGCATAAATATCAAAATGCAAACCAAACCAATATTCGACGTTCTGGAGTAAAATTGATGGACGGATAAATTCAAAATGTGCCGATAAAGCATAACAATTGTATAATGTTATTTTTTGGTCTTTATGCAACCCGAAATTTGCAAAGTATCAAAATCAAGTGGATGGATCCTGGACACGGTTCAAAAACCCGGCACCAAAACAGTTTCGACATCATTTATGCGTCTTGTAATCATAACACGACCACAAAAAAGTTGTGTTTCCTCCCTTTCGTAAATCTATCCCTATTATGCTCTCAGAGATGTAATGTCAGCAATTTCCACATGCATGTATCTGGCTTCCCATCCGTTGACAGCAGACTTCTTTGTAAGCTATGTATGTTATAAAAAAACTACGTGTCCGGATAATTACCCGGGTATTTTTGGTCTGGAACTACATACCACCACCACTTGACTGTATACATATGTATTCATCCCGCATACAAACAAATCTAAACCCATTTCTAGAAATGGAACGACGTGCCTATTTAATCCGAGGCATTGTTTTGCTTGAAAACCAACAATTCGGGTAGTGGTAAAAAAATAAAAACGGGACTTTCTCCATTTTACGGACGGAAATTGCGAGATCTGGCAAAAGTGTAATGGATGTCACATCTGCATTCATTAATCCAGAGACTTATTCTCGTCGTCGTCCTCCCTCCCTCCCTCCCGCTCATCGAGACCGTGCTACACATATATTATCATCCTCCTTCTCTGGGTGGGTGGTTCGCAGTTAGCCAAAGTTACTTACGTATAATAATATTGTATGTATAGTAATGGGACATTGGCAGCAGAACGTAGTTGGCCCAGAATCTGTGTACTTATATGAATACTGAGGAGCACAAAGGAACGAAACGGTCGAAAAACCGGGAGGAGGAGTGACGACTGACTCATCGATTTCCAGTTTCCTTCTTTCAGAACTTTCCGTAGTCAACTTACTTCTTAATTCGATCCTTTACTGGTGGCTGGCTGGTCCAGAGAGGGGGAGTCACTCAGTCACTCAATATCATAATATGACCACATTACATATACGAACCAAGGAATGAATGAATGAATGAAAGGAAAAGAAGACCGAGAACCACCAGCCCCATTATTCCATCTTTTCGTCGAAGAAAAGACATAGTTTTGGCAAGCAGGCCAGTCTCAACGCCCAAATATGTAGGTGCCTACGTAATAGACGATTCAGCATGCAGGGTTGGAAAAATGCAGCAAACAAAACTCTCCATCTACCCCATTTTTTCCTCGTTATAAATACATATTTACCGTCCTTTACATACTTACAAGATCACAAAAGTGACCAAGTAAATGGGAGCCCTTAGAAATGCAAATGCTTGCTTTGCTCTGCGTCCATGGTCGTTCCCCATTCTCATTAAACGAACGAGACGACATCTTGGACAAGGGCCTGGATTGAATCTCAGGCTAAGAATAGCTTTTTAGCATACGCCGCCGACAAGCCACTTGAGAGTCCGAATTACGAATCGATACTTAGGAGGACCAACTTCTTCTCGGTTATCATCATGTCTCTCATCCAGATGACAAGAATTACTTTGTGAAACTACCACCATCACCTAACTACTCACCTCTTTAAACGTCACGTGTATAGCCATCCCCCAAAAATATGTGTAGCCATTGGAGAACCCAATCGTTTTATTACTGCGATTGACGCCAACTTGGAAGAACTAACTTTCTCGAGGGGGAAAGGAGTCTCTTCTAAAAAGTAAAGATGAAGATCGGGACTCATTATCACAACCACATCGCGATAGTCGGTGGGTCGTCACTTTCTCTTATTCACCGATTCCTCTCTCTCGATGAGTATGGAAATTGCCACTTCACTTTATACCCAATTTTTAAGTGTTACGAGGACAGAGTACTTTAAACCTTGGCGGAAGAAAGTTTGCAAATTCGATCTCCATTTTTTCATACGTCTCACATTTATTATTCGAGTTAATCTTCATTCCTGAAGTAAAAATAGTAATCAAAGTTTTGAGAGGACGATTTCCT